GAAATCACAGAGATTAAACGGCAGATATCTGGTGAAAATAAATTAAACGAGGTATCACCTGGTTCAATTCAGGCAGAGGGCTGTATTTTGCATGCAACACAAGTCAGAAATGCTGCTTCCCTCGATATCTGTTCCAATTCCGAGCTGCACATTGGTTCTGCTATGCAACAGCCAGATGGACAGGAGAGTTCTATTGATAAAGAAGATATTCATCATGGAAGTAGCAACCTGCTGGAGGCTTCATCTACCACTTATGAGGCATCCATGTTATATGAGGTACAAGGCAATTCTTCTAAACAGGATAATGCTGCAAAAGATCTTGGTAATTTGACCGTTACGTCCTTTGCTGGTGGATGTGTTGGAGAAAATTCAATAATTGAGGATGTCAAAGATGCCAGTGATGTTACTGGGATGCATGCAGAGAACTTAAACGATGAAGATCATGATAGCTCCTCTCTTTTGTCTGGATCCATGCAAATCTATTGTGAAACCAATCCATCTATGCAGACAGATCCTCTCAAATGTGATCAGAATCTTTCTGCAAGTCAAAGAAGAGATGAGAAGTCGCATTTAAATGATATGGGTTGTGATGACAACGAGAAAGTGGTAGGATCCAGTGTTCCTGGTGAGGGAGTTAAAGGAAATGTTGACTTAGAATCCAAAACACCTGTTGGGGAATATCCCGGTATGTGATATTCGTATGTTATTCGTGTTCCTTTCCAAACCGCATCTTTCTTAGTTTTGATATCATTCCCTTTTGAATCTTCAGTCTACTAAATCTTCATTGTTATCTAAACCTGTTGATTCTTTGCATTACCTCGCAGTACTGAATGCTCTGGAGGAAGATACAAACTTGGCATCAAAGGTTGGGGATTGCAATGAAGAGCTCGAGTCACCATTTAATGATGCGGTGTTAGTGCACAAGGATGAGAATGAAGAAACTGAATTGGAAGTCCTTGAAGAACCAAGGGCATCAATCTTGGGACAGTCCTCAGAAATGGCAGATGAGCTAGCCATTGTTTCTGAACCTCAAAAGCCTGGATGTAAGACAGACAATCAATCTATTTCTGGGATGCAGACTGCTGATGCTGCA